ATCTGCCGGATCGCATGTGCGTCCATGAAGTTCTGGACGGCGTCATCACGGAGGCTGAGGAGCGCGGTTTGGTTCTTCGGCTTGTGCACGCTGCCGGCCAGCTTGGCGAGGACTTTGTTCGTCGAGACGCCCACGCTGGAGGTGTATCCGAAGTCCTCCTCGAGTTTGTGCCGGAGATAGCCCGCGAGGTGCGATGCGAGCATCAGGCGTACACATAACGGGTTATCCAGGAGAATCGAGATGTCGTTTTCTTCTTCCGGGTCAAAAGGGGGGCATACGCACCCGAAGAAGCGGGTCCCGTCGAATCCGAACCCCTTTTCCGGATCCTGGCGGTCGAGCTGAAAGAACGAGTCTGCTAGCGCGTTCCGGTTCAGCAGCTCCTGGTTATAAGCGATCACATCAGAGACGTCGAGGAAGACCTCATCGAGCCCCAGGCGCTCGACACGCCCATTCCAGGAGTGAGCGCGCAGGAACGCCCATAGTCGTTTCGAGGCATCACGGAACGGCGTTAGGTCCTCGCCCTTGGCGATCACTAGATCCGGACACACGCGCTGCGCCTCGGAGATGAGCATCAGCTTCTTGACACCACGTGAGCGGGCCACATAGTTGCATGTGGCCAGAATGCTCTTCTGCTGGATCCCCAGCGGCTGGCCCTTGAGCGCCGGGTTCGCGCTCTCGAAGACGCTGGCGTAGAAGCAGTCATAGTCCTAAGTGTTACAATCATAGTTAGAACTCACGACGACCGGTGCTCACTGTCATTTGACTATGATCTGTCCTTACGAAGTGAAGGATGATGCGCTCATCGTTTCTCTTGGGAACTTTGGCTTGGCCAGCGGTCAGGGCTGTTGTCTTCATGTTGTTCCATTTTTGGAATAATAAATCGTGCCGCAGTCAAACTGATGTGGGGATTCGATACGTACTCGCACACCAACAAGGCAAGAATGCTAGATGCGCTGGGAGGCCTGATAGTTGAATAGTAATCTTCGTGATCAACTAGGCCAACTGGATCAACTAAGTCAGATCGATCAACTTGATCAACTTGTTTAGTTTGATCCTTTGAAACGCCGCGTTTCAAAGTAGCGTATCGGTGCCCACGCAGTCGCCCAAAGCTTTTTGTGTTGCCTAAACAACAACGTCGTCGTGAAGCGCGCGACTGTTGGAGTTCCGGGGATTGATGGAGTCAAAAGTGGACAGCGTTTGGACAACTGTGGTACTAATTTGCCCCGGGTTATGTAAGTTTACAAACCAAGCCACGTACTCATCAGCTGTCCAGGTACTTTTATGTGGGCTAATATATTCTGCCTCGTCTCAACATCCATTTCTGCCATTCCCCAGCACCGATCATTCTCTTGGCGCTATCAAAATAGTCACACAACGTCATATTTCTTAATAGTAGTTACATTTCTAAGTTTCGTTTCTTTCTCCTCTATCCACAAGGATATTGCTTCGTCTCATCCTGGACTATTTCTCCACGTCTCGGCTGCTCGGGAAGATCGGGAAATGCTACCTTGCAGCGTGCCGACACTTTACACTCAGTCCCAGCAGTCTGGCACGTTAAGAACCAACAAGCGTTTACTGTATCTAATTTAAGCCGGAACTAGTCGTCAATAGATGGCCAGAGCTGAGAATGAGTAAAAATAGGTAACAATATCCATATACGAGGAATTGAACGACTTGGCAGACAAAGACTGGCGAGTTTTGTTGGGAACGAGTCAACTCATTGCTAAGATTGGGTATATGATCTGAAGCAGATTTCAACAGAGCGATCATCGATCACGCATTCTAGCATGCTGGTGGTTTGCTGGCAGCCTACTAAACATGATACCCAGAACAGCAAGACGCCGGAATAAGGCTGTTATCCCCGACCAATCCTTCATCTCTTTTTTTTCAGCTTCGAATAGAGAATCTCCAATGTATTACGGTCCAAACCGATGGGTCATGAAGTGTGGCTCATTGCAGTTGGGAGATTACAGTGAAAGCTCCCTCTCGCTTCCTGAAATGGTAGGATTGCTATCCAACAACGGTAAATCGCGGCTATCCTCAGTCACCTGCGCTATGTAGCATGCATGTAGGCTGGTCGTTGTATGACAGACCAGAATTCAGCCAGAGAATGATCGCACTCATATTCACCGCTGCTTCAGAAGGCTTCGATTGATGGAAGAATGCTACGAATGATTATTCATCAAACACTGCGGGGAAGCACTTTTGTTGTCCAGTGCAAGAATATAGACGCCGTGAGAAGCCAGAACGGGCGGCCGTATGCGCGGTGTGGCCCTTTAGCCGACCTCGCCCCATTGATCATTGGCCATACTGGGCTAGGATCGTACAGGTAAGCAGGGGTCACGTAGGCGCTTGCGTCTGCAAGTTCCATCCCTTCCCCTACGCCCCTGTACTTTTTATAGCCAACCAACAATGTAAGCACTCTGACCAAATGCATCGTGCTGTTGTTGGTGTCTCTTCGACTGGTCTGACCCATCCCCTCCCAGTCTTGTGCTCTTAAGAATGACTGTGCCTAGAGCACCCGGAGAATGTTCTCCCCTCTCATGTGTGAACCTTCTTATTCCACTTTATCGCGCCTAGGTGTTGCTTCACGTTGCACCTTGCATTAGTCTCATACTCTTGGCGGTTGGCTGACAGGCTGCTTATCCCTTCCCTTCTTATCGGGCTAGTCGCTCATCGAACCAAGTGGTGTGTTATATAACCGCCGTCCCCGTCTTTTGCCAGTCCTCATAGTCTCACTTTGCTACTGTTACTCTTAATACATCCCGGCCGGCTGGGAGGTTGCTTGGAAGTCCTCGTCTGCTGGTGGCACAGGTTGAGCGGCATACTCAACAACCTTTCGACATCTCCCTGTGATATACCAACATAATATCTCGAGGTTGGATCTGGCAGATAGCCTTCCAGTCCACCGACATCATCATGGCTGCTCAGGATCACCCCAAGAGACCCCGGCTGTCTCTTCAGATCAAGCCGTCGCCCGGACCAAACGTGAGAACGAAGAAGACCTCGCTGGTGAATCCTAGATCACCGACGTCTTTCAACACCCTCTCAAATGTCTACGCCACAGCCATCGAGAGATCGACACCTGTCCAGGAAACACCTGTGACTGCGATTAATACAAATACACACCAGGCTCTGAAGCTTCAAACTGACGCCCAGTCCCTCAGTGGGCAGCAGCAAAGAGTGCACACGCCGTTTACCGCAATATTACCTGATACACCACTTTCTGCAAATCCGATGTCGCCGGCCCAGCAGATGGATTTCGTATTCCCTAGTACTATGACAGCAACTCCTCCGTTGTCTGCCGGGCCAGTTGAGTCACCTGAATCTAGAAAGTTTACTTTCGCACCCACCGACACGAATAAACAGGCTGTACCGCAGTCTCCTGCCCAGACCCGCCGACGAGTGATGTACGCACAATTCGGCTCTACTGCCAAAGCACCTTATAGCCATAATAGATCGCTTCATAGTATACTTCGAAACTCACCTCTACCACCATCAACCGCCGTGTCGCCAAGTTCATCGAGAAGGCAGTCTCTTCGCTTGCAGGAGAAGGCGGCAAGGAGAGTGGGATATGAGTCTCCGTTGACGCAGACTATCACAACTGAGAAGTATACGAAGTCGCATATTGACTTACTTCAAGACGAGGCTTCGCCCTATACACCGTCCCCGACGGCCGAAGATTCTGATATGATGCTCGACCTCGCCATGGCATATTCGGGGGACGAGACTCGAGATGGCGGAGAGACCCCCGGACCATTCGAGGAAATGCGGAGGCGCATGACAGGGACGGGACTAGGTACTGAGACGCCAATCCTCTCACCGAGGCCGGATGGAATCCGTAAGCGCAAGAGAAAGGAGAAGAAGCGGAGATGGGTGTGGACAATAGGCCAGGACGACGAGGAAAATGAGAGCGGTGCCATGGCTGCCCTGAGAGCCGCAGCCAACACTTCAGCGCCCCGGACCGAGGAGCCTGCGAAGGCCACTACACCGGAACCTCTCACCGCAGTGCAGACTAGCTTCGAGCACACAGAGTCTGAGTCGGACACTACGGCGGACAAAATGGACATCGAGATGTCGGATAGGGATAGCATGCACTCAAGCAGGGCGACGACACCTCACAGCATGGACATGGATACAAACACGCCTACCGTCCCCGCGGCTTCCAACACGGCGTTTGAGAAAGAGCCACGTCTCGCAACCATGGGCCTTGCAACCGCGGATCTCATCAACCCAGAGACGGGAACCAGGCGGGATACCCCGATCCCACCGGATTTAGTCAACAACTCACAGTTATGACGCCGTATTCAAGAGATATTAGTTAGGCATTTTAAGACCGCGAGTTTGTTTGTGTGGCAGGTTTTACACGCATATATGCATCGCGAGGGCAAAACAGGTTGCATTAGCGAGCGGTCAGGGCTGTCTATTGGGAAAGGGAAGGGCGTTCGTTGATACCATCATCTTAGTTATTATGCATGGTGCATGTACTGCTTTGCTGTGTTTACCTGAGGTTTATGTTAGTTTTAGCGTATATGCTTGCATGAGAATACGATGATGAATATGAAAATACTTTTATTACTCGGTTCTGGAGTCATTTTCGAGTTTAGTGCCCATGCAGGAATGACTGAACATTATATGTATTTATGTACTTCACAGCGCATATGTAATTTATTCTCATGCAGCATATCGGCCTCTACATGAGTAGAAAAATACACTAATGTTGGTCGCTTATTGACTGATGAATTCCAATTACACCAGCATGCCTAATAATAGATGTTGCAAAAATGAAGGCATTCAATGGGGGCAGACCACGATTACTACAAGAATGTAACAGATATATAAGCAAAGGAATATGTTTAAAAATAGAATACGTAATGCTTTGTAAAAATCATGCGGTAAAAAAAGATTTGACAAAATAATACTGATACTCTAATTGAAAGCAGTGTGATATGAGCCAAAAAGAATCCAAAAATTTTGTTCTGGGAACTGTGTAATAACCGCGACAACGGCAGGATTTGAACCTACGCGGGCGAACCCATCAGATTTCGAGTCTGACCCATTAACCACTCTGGCACGTTGCCTGTGATCCGTTGAAGTTTAGCCGAGTTAACAGAGATTATATTGACCTTCCCGTAAAACTGGGGCACCTTTGGCTGCTTGGCTGCTCGGTGCTTGGCTCATCAGCAAGCTGACAAGCCAGACCGGGGTCGGTCAAGCCTTATTAGACCGCTGCAATAGTATCTAATAATTGAGCTTCACCTAGGTATTCACGTAGGTACCAATGTGCTACATGTAGCTTTTACCTCACTTTGGTGCTCTGAGAAACCCTCAACTCAAAGTACATGCCTACAGACAGACACCTCACTATCAAGATACATGTACAACCAGGACAGCCCCTTTAATGACCACACCACCGAGCCTGCAAGCCTAAGGACAATATCAACTGAATCCCTACCTCATATGACAAAATGTAATAAGATCGAGGTACACAATAGATTGGCGAGATCCTGACCTAACAAGCACGGGCCACGGCTGTGATATCCAGCAGTCTGGATCGTTGCAGCCGGGGGAGACTTGATTGATCGTCCGAACGCCCATGACGCAAAGCTCTTCTTTATCCTTGCCGTAGATCTCCAGTCGTCCTTGTCTACAATATGCGACTGGATGCCAAATGCCGTATTACCATGTTTGCGTTTGCAAATCTCCCTTGGCTGAAGAAGCTGCTATTCTCAGCTGAGCATGGTACGCGCAACATCGGCGATCTAGGTACCATCTGTTCGTCTGATTCTATCAACCGTCTTCAGAGCGTTAGAGCGATTGTACTGCGTACTAATACCTGTGTCAATGACCCTAACTAACGTCTGGAGGGCTGTTAGATATTAGGTGTAACTATAGAATCAAGGCATCATGACACAAACATTAGATTAATGAGATGAATTCAAGACAGATGAATAGAAGACTGTAGATTGCTGCTGTACAGGCTGACAGGTCCCAGTGCAGTGGTTGGTGGTGTAACTTTGAGTAGTCTGGTAAACCTGGCAGCTGGCTGGTGGAGAAGAGCTACCCCTCCCCTGCTTGCTAGCAGCCGCCTTGTTGGATGGCAGCTCCAAAGACGTCTTTTCAAAGAATTGATTTCCCCACCGACGTCATACACTCGCACAACACATGAATCGACGTTCTGAAAGAATATTGGGATGATGTAAGTGTAAAACCTGTCCAACCAAGGCAGAATGAATACTAGGTAAAGTAAATGATGAACATATGTAGCTAGTATCAATTCCTTACACCTGCATTGTTTTGGGCTTGCTCTCTCTTCCGTAGATACTGTCTTCGGTCTTGCAAAGTACACTTCCTTCGCTACTACTACTCTTCAATACCATTGACGGGCGAGTGGTGAAGTTACTTCCTGGCCTCTTCGCCATTCCACAATATAATAGGTGTCCTCTTTAAGCTATCGCGACTATCAAATGCACTCTAGATTTATTCTGCGACTGTAGTACCGACGATGACCGAACAGCAGCAACACGCTCCTGGGGGTCACTATTCTGGGCTCAACCGGATCCCTAACATTAAGCAGTTCGCGGCTCAGCTTGATAGGGACAAAAAGGAGCGGGATGCCAAAATCGATGCTGAATTGAACGGGAACCGCAAGAATAATGATATAAGGGAGCACAGTAATGAAGAGCGAAAGACCAAAAGCCATGGCAGAGTTGTGACAGACCCTGTGACGGGGAAAGAGATAACCATCGACGATGTCAACGGTGATTTCGCTAAAGCTGCCGAGAATCCTCATGTAAGTTCTTTTCAGATAAATTATAGGTACAGTAACTGGAATGGCTAACGATTTCTCTAGCTTTCTGTACCAAATGCAAACCTGGGCAAGGACACGCCCGTTAGGACAGAAGCAACCCAATCAGGGGAGGAATATAGAGAAGCCCAAGATGTAACCGCACCGCCAGATCCAGTAGCTACTGGGTCCACTTCAGACGTGCCCATCCACGGCGAGAAGACGAACATCCTGTTCCACCCGACCCCATCAGTTAGCTACGACCCTATGTACGGCATTATCGAGCAGCGAGCAACAGTATTATGTTTCGCTGTTTTCTTTACCATCATCTTTGTGGGTAAATTCTTCGAAGGCAGGCTCCTGGGCTTGGTGCCCCTTGCCATGTGCGTTTCTTCTGGCGTGTTCCTCTGGATGAAGGACTTGATCAGACGGGGTCGAGATATCGAATGGTCGAGTGAACAGAAGCGTGGAGAGACCGCTACGGCGAACTTGATCCCTGAGTCCGTGGAATGGATGAACACTCTTCTCGGCATTGTCTGGGGTCTAGTCAACCCCGACATGTTTGCCGCTGTCGCCGACACTCTAGAGGTATGTGTCTCCTTAGAGCTGTTGTTGAGCCTGAATCTAACAAATGTAGGATGTTATGCAAGCTTCAGTTCCAGGAATCATTGAGAACGTCAAGGTTGCCGATATATCCCAGGGTAACAACCCTATTCGTATCCTGAGTCTCCGTGCTCTTCCAGATGCGCACATGAAAGACGTCAAGGATGAGATGCATAAACAGAACGAAAAGGTCAAGGATCCACAAGAACTCGCTGCCACCGAAGAGGGCGGTGACTATTACAATTTGGAAGTATCCTTTGCTTACCACGCGAAGCCATCTTCTGAGACCGTGTCTGCCAAAGCCGCAAATATGGGCATGCAGCTGGTGTTCTACCTTGGTGTCAAAGGGCTATTTGGTGTCCCTCTACCTATCTGTAAGTCTTCCTTGAATTATCTAGACCAAGTACTAATTGTATCCAGGGGTCGAATTGATTGGTCTTGTAGGAACCATGAGACTTAGACTACAGATGTCACCCGAGCCACCTTTCCTCAAAGCAGTTACTTTCACGCTGATGGGAGTACCTAAAGTCGAAGCCGGTTGCACCCCCATGATAGAGCGCGGTGTCAACATTCTCAATCTACCAGTGATCTCGAACTTTGTCAACTGGGCCATTAAGACTGCTGCTGGCATGTATGTTGCGCCAAAGTCTATGACGCTGGACCTCGGGAAGATGCTGCAAGGGGACGATATACAAAAGGATACAAATGCTATGGGTATCTTATTCATTCGGATTCACAAGGCCGTTGGACTATCAAAGCAAGATGCACGAGGCTCCGAAGGTGGTGGTTCGGACCCTTATATTACCGTCAGCTTCTCCAAGTTCGGGAAGCCTATGTATTGCACTCGTGTCATACAAGATGACCTCAATCCTGTCTTCGAAGAGACTTGTGCTATCCCAGTTACTGCCGACCTCATCAAGGCAGATGAGCAACTGTCAATGGAGCTATGGGACAGTGACCGGTCAAGCGCTGATGATGTGGTTGGCAAGGTCGAGCTCTCCTTACAGAAGCTCATTCAGCATCCCGGTCACATGTACCAACAGGTATCGAAACTTCGTGGAGTGAAAGCTGATAGTGAAATGCCCGGAGAGCTCCATTGGGAGGTCGGGTACTTTGGCAAGACTCAGTTCCGTGCTGCCTTGCGGACCGATGGCAAGGACCTTAGCCTACCTAAGGAACTTCGAGACAAGAAGGAGCTGCAAGATGATAAAGGAGCTCTGGATAACGCGGAAGAAGATGCTGTTGTACACACCCCTCCGGATCCCCTTTGGCCTTCTGGCATCCTCAGTGTCGTCGTACATCAGATTGTCAACCTTGAGTTGGCCAACGTTAAGGGCTCAGAAGGTGGCAAGCGAAAGGGGGGCAAAGAATATGAACCTGCACGTGAGGCCGGAGAGACTAAGGAAGAGGCGGGCAAGAAGTTACCGAGTGCTTATTGTACAATGCTTCTCAATGACGAATTGGTAAGTTAAAGCATTGCCGGACGACGTCTCGATGTATGCTAATGTATTACACAGGTATATAAGACTCGGACTAAGGTGGTTTCTTCCAAGCCGATCTTCAATGCTGGCACCGAGCGATTTGTGCGAGATTGGAGGTCTTCTATCTTCACCGTCACCGTTCGCGATTCTCGTAATAGACAACATGATCCTATCATTGGTGTTGTCCCCTTGAAGCTCACTGATATCCTTCAAACGAGCAGCCAGGTAAGGCAATCACAAATTCTAACGTGACTCCAGAAGCTGACCTAATATCGCGCAGGCTACACGGTGGTATCCATTGGATGGTGGAATTGGCTTTGGCCGAATTCGTATCTCCCTTCTCTGGAGATCAGTTGAACTCAAGTTGCCCCCACCACAACTTGGTTGGGATGTCGGTACTTTTGAGTTCATGTCGGACAATATTACTTCGACCTTCCCCGGCCATGGAAGTGGTAAGGTCAAACTAAAGTTGAGAACAGGCGGCAGCTCTGCGGTAGTTAAACGCGAACAATGTAGTGCGGATGGTGACAACTTGGAGTGGAACATCGGCGGCGTCACCAACAACGCACGCCCTCGGCTACCCGTCCGCTACCGTTACAGATCGCCCGTCTTCTTCGAGTTCCACCTCAGCGGGAAACGGCACGTGGAGCACTTCGCCGCCATCTGGCTCTCCGAACTAGCCGACAACGAGGAGAAAGACTTCGACATCCCGATCTGGCAGTGCAACAATGGCATGCGGCTGTCGCAGAACTTCATCACGGCGGGCAACTATCGCAGCGTGCCGGACATCAAGATCGAGGAGGCCGGGCGCCTGCGCTTCCGCGGGCGCTTCAAGGCCGGCACGGACCGCGACCACCTGCGCTTCGTCAGCGACAACGACTCGCGCGAGACCATCGAGACCTGGGAGGCGTGCTTCGCCGAGGGCGTGCGCCAGGAGCAGGTCTCCAACACGCTCCCGCCCACCATCAAGTCGCTGCACGACGCCTCGCTGACCCACGGGCGCGACGTCCTCGCCATGGCCTCCGAGGAGGAGAAGCGCAAGTGGCTCTCCAAGGACGGCACGGACTGGACCGGCGCCTTCGGCCAGGACCCCGCCGAGCTGATGGCAGGCCAGGAGGGCCGCGACGACGAGCCTGAGTACGAGACCGATGACGAGGAGTCCTCGGCCCCGCCGGACCCGGACTCGCCTGTGCGGCTGAAGCACGAGGGC